CCCTTCCCAATAAAACATGGCCCAGCTGTGCAGTTACTCACTGGAGTTCAGGAGGATCATGGCCTTGACACAGAGATACTCTTTGTGTTGGAGTTTTAACTCACGAAACCTTGAAGTTGTTGCCAGGAGCATGTCAAAGATTTCCAGAATTCCTTCCACACATTTCCCTTCATCCCTACAAAAGTTCATTTGGAAATTTAAAAAAATTAGAGCAACCATCAAAGGCAATGAGGAGTATTTTCTTTTTAATATTAAATTTCATTTTGTACATGCTTTAACTCTAACAAAGTGGTGATGAAACCATTCAGCAATATGAAATTACCAGTTACCTTATAAGAGGACAGGAAATTTCCTATAAATCCCTAAACATTTAAATAAATACTATTTAGGCAAAAGAGTGCATTGGAACTACGCTTTTCTTCTACCTGTTCATAAATGTTATCTTAAAGGAATAATACTTTTGTTGGTAAACTAAACCATTTCAGCCAGCCAGCCTGAGATATGACACCTATTACTAAAGTGAGACATTCCATGTTCTCCTTAGAAGACTCTGAAGTGTCCATGAGGAAGATTGACAATTACAGCTAATATCCCAAGAAGAAATAATCCTTCATATCTGGGGCTCTCATTTCTTCGTGGTTATTTAGAAACTAGAGGGGCAACTAAGAGATGTGTAAATGTAATTTGGAAAAAAGCTAACATGACACAAAGAAATCACAATTAGAGAAGGTAGATTAGAATTGGGAAAGGCAGAAATGGAGACATGGAAATTTTTGACTTGCAAAGATTATTTTTAAGCAAAAGTTTTAGACAAATTTTGAACCATATAATCAAAATTCTTTTGAGCACTCCTTATAAATATAATTTTTAAGTATACTTTTGAAATAAATTACTTTAACTGTATCTAGAAAATACCAGCTTCAATTAACTCTAGCCAGACACATATTATTCTGCCTCACTGCTCCTCAAAATCTTCTATTATCATCCGTCTTAGTTATCAGAAGTCCTTGACAAGCAGCTAGATGATTGTGCCACAAAACTTTCATTTGCTTCTTAAAACCTGTGGTACACAGTAAAGGGCAGCCATGAGTTTCTGTGTGTTTCATTTTCAGTCTCTGTAGCAGCCCCTGAGGGGACCTGAGATATTCAAGGAACTGGCTGTTCCCTCTTCCTTTCCCAACCCCAAGCCAGGACATTTCCAGGGATGGTGGTGGTTGGGGAAGGGCCTCTGTAGAATTCAAATGAACAGACACAAGTGGGCACTGCCAAACGTGGTGAAGCCCTCCCCACTCAGTGCTATGCTAGGACAGCAACTGACCAGGATCCTGCATTCCACAGCCTTCAAAACCCTCCAGCCCCAGACTCACCTACACAAAGCTACAAAGCAAGCAAACTGCTCACTTTAGCAAGCAAGCACGGCAACTTTTACAACCAGCTTTCTAAAAGCGCACACATTAAATAATACAATACCAGTGTTCCCTACACCCCAGCCTACCTCCCCTGCTCTGCACTTTCACAGGCAGCCTGCTGCAAGCGTCCAGTAAGGACAACACATGCCCTGCACATAGCAGAGGTACAAGAAATACTTGTTCACAATTACCTCTCATGCCACATTATCAAAACATTCTGCCTGGGGACAAGTAATATTAGAAATTGTAATTGTTGGGCTTGAGGACATCTTATACTGGGCAAAGCTGGTTTTAAAATATTTCTGGAGGCAAAACAAAAAATCCACCAACTCCTGCACTGATGGGTTAATAATAGTTGATTCTTTACTCTTCTGTGAGACTCAGTCACAGGTGAGCTTATGCACATGCAGGCACACATGTGCACACTCACACACTCACCCCCCCCCCCAAGTAGTATGAAAGGGTATTTATCTGAAATCAACTCTATTGTGGAAGTTGCCACCTGTGTCTAAGAACACTGTAAATAAATATTGAAATTAATACCATTTCCTCATTGAAATACATGCTATTTTTAGTGCAAATTCATATGGAGGGAGAATTTACACCTTAGGGCATAAGCCCTGATAAATATTGTAACGAACAGTAATCAGAGCATGTGTACCTCATGGAAAAGGTGAACTTCTAAACCAGCTCTAAAGAACTAGGTCTGGTTGCTTTCTCTAGCAGGTGTGACAGCCAACCATTTCATTCAAGGGGTGGCAAGGTTAGAATATTTTACTTCACAGGCTATAAAACCAAATACATTTCTAGGAAACAAATGAAAAGGTATAGGGGCAATAAGGTCCAATACCTTATAAATGACACCCTAATAAAGTTCTACATGAAAATGAGTTATACAGAACAGAGTGAGAAAGGACTTTAACAAATTAATGAGCTTTATATCATTTATTTTGGAACTATGATTGACAGTGAATTACGTGCAAGAAATTAGGAAAGGATTAAAAGATTTGAATTCAAGATAGAGGGTATATAAATTGAATGTTAAAATGTTGAAACAATATATCAACCAAACCAATCTACTCATGGAAAATTACTTTTACACACCATTTGCCCATAAACTAGTGCTAAATAAAAAAGTAGTTCCACAGAAGGAGACTTGACTTTGGGTGGTGAACACACAATACAATATACAGATAATGTATTATAGAATTGTACACCTGAACCTATATAATCTTATTAACCAATGTCACCCCCGATAAACTCAATAACATTTTTCTAAAAAGTAGTTCCATGTGGACTACCTTACTATTTGATAATCACCACCCCTCTATAAAAGAAAAATATTCTGTTTGATACCAAGGACAAAATGTTGAATGAGTAAGCCTCACTTTGGGGTACACTATATTGTACCTATAATATACCCACTGCAGCACCCATGTGGCTACAGACCTTGATTTACCTCTGTGTGGGTGGCAATGGGAAGAAGGGGGCTCAAGGCTGAGAACATGGAAAGGACTTAAATATTGTACTCAAGTGAAAATTATCTGAGTACAAAAGGGAACTGAAAATTTAGAAATGAAAATTCTGTTGGTATCTTGAAGACAATTTAGTACACAAATAACTAACATGGATGCAAACTCAGAACACTCACAATTATGCATATGATTCCACAGGACTCCATTAACACCCATAATGGGGTCCAAGACCAGAGCTAAACCTCCCCTGACTTTTTAATAACACTTAACATTAGACTGTTTTCTGTTGATACTAAAGACACCAAGTGTCTTAGCATATATGATTTTTTTAAAAATATATCTTTATTGATTTCAGAGAGAGGAAAGGAGAGGGAGAGAGAGAGATAGAAACATCAATGATGAGAGACTCATTGATTGGCTGCCTCCTGCACGCCCCCTACTGGGGATCGAGCGCACAACCCAGGCATGTGCACTGACCGGGATTGGAACCCCAATCGCCTGGATCCTAGGTCAACACTCAACCACTGAGCCACACCACGGGCAGCATATATGATTTTTTGAGCAAATAGCAACTCACATTCTGTGGCAGATCTTCATCTGAATTTGTGATTCTAGTGGTTACTAAAAGAACTACCATGCTAGAAATAAGCTGAGACAACAGGATTTTCCTCTCATCCTCAGTAGATTCAAGTTTTCTTGCTGCCAAAGCCTCAACAAAAATAAAGGGAAGCAGAAATTATATTCTCAGTCTCCACAAATGGGTTAATTCAGTTGTATTCACTGCTTCTATGGTCATACCACTACTGGAAGGAACTCTGATAGGACAATCCACCAACAGAAAATTATTTTAAGTAGTGTGAAAACTGCTTATTCACACTGTTAAAAAATATTCATAATAGAATTTCTTTATGGTGTATGATCCCTGATTTTACATTTTGAATATTTTTAAATAAGCAACTCCTCCAAAAATATACCCATTATATAAAAACATACTTATCTGTATATAATAGATGCATTAAAAAATCTTAGATTTGAGCCCAGCTGGCGTGGCTTAGCAGTTGAGCATCAACCTATGATCCAGGAGATCAAGGTTCGATTCCCTATGAGGGCACATGCCCAGGTTTCGGGCTTGATCCCCAGCAGGGGGCGTGCAGGAGGCAGATCAATGACTCTCATCACTGACGTTTCTCTCTCTCTCCCCCTCTTCCTTGCTCTCTCTGAAATCAATAAAAACATTTTTTAAAAAAACAAAACAAAATAGATTTGAAATTCTACACTTTCCAGAGTTAATGCGTTAAAAATAATAAGAATGGCAACAAAAATAACCACCCACAGGCACTCCAAAATAAATGCCTGCTCAATGTCTTCATTTACAATTCCCAAGAACTCCTCTTCTCAGTCAATCAAATAAACTGGATTTATATGCTGTAAACATAATGCTTCCAAATGTTTTTTAATGTGAGTCTGTTAAAAATAGTTTGTAAAAAAAAATAACATTTTTTTCTTCTATTACTTAACCAAAAGCTACACCTAAAATTTATCTAGGATTTGTGCCAGTTTATAGTAACTTATACACATACTTACTGAAGTTAAAGAACCCACACAAAGATGAGAGCGAATCGTACTAAAAACCAGGAATGAAACAGTCACTGAAAACAAACACTAAATGTATCAATTTAGAAATCAAGACAAAAAGTAAAATAACTTAATCCCAAGCTCTGCAAATTTTAGTTCACCAAGGGACAGCACTTCTTCCTAGTACTAACTTCCAGGAGAATTGATGGGGGTGATGAATGTGGTTTTAAACACCACGTGGAACATAATGAGTGAATGAATGAGTGAACAAACAAACGGGAGGGATGGCTTGATTGGCGGCTTAGCCTTGCAGCCTGCCTTACAGCATGGTACCGTGAGATGACAGCAGGAGTGGGTTTCTAAGGTGGGCAGAGAGCAGAACAGAGTTGTTCTAAGACAAAAGAATAAAGTAGAAAGTTAGTTTGCATTTAGCCTCCTCCCCTTTCCCCTTCCAGTTCTCTATCCTGCGGAGAGGCATATGCTGTTGTAGTTAAGAGCATGGATTTCACAGCCAGAAGTCCAGCCCCACCACTTGCTACTCTCTAACTGCAGGAGATTACCTAACTTCCTCTCATATCTGAAGGATAGGGGTAATAATGGGGCTTTCCCAAAAAGGGCTGCTGTAAAGATGAAATGAGTGAACATACAATGCTAAAGATGGTGCCTGACACATACAAGCCAATAAGTTAGCTATTTTTTAAGTTTATCTTTAATGTTGAAAGTATTACAGATGTCCCCATTTTTCCCCCCACTGACTCCCTCCACCCTGCTCCCGCCCCCTTCCCAGGCCTTCACTGCACTACTGTCTGTGTCCATGAGTTATACATATATGCATATAAGTTCTTTGGTTAATCTCTTCCCGCCCACCCCACCCCCTTCTGTTACTGGAGGGTCCTACCTGTCCTAGGCTTTCAGAACCTACTTCTGCAGTTTACCATCTGGGCTTGCTCCTGCTTGAGCCACGTCCCCTATTCCAGCTCTTCCCAAAGCCTCTGTTCTCCACTAAAACACCTCCATTACTTAGAACAGCACTCTTTACCAATGTTGTCATCCATGACAGGTAAAATGGGCACTAATACCTTGGGGATACTTTTCATCTGCCTAATGTACAGAGGGATCTTCTGATGCTCTAAAGCGGTAATACCAAGAGTTGGGGTAGACACTTTCCATTCATAGATAGCACTAGGTAGCCTTCCACTCTGCACAGAGTCAAATGTGACTGAACATTCGACACTAGAACTTTTCAAAATAGGAATGTGGAAATCAGGCTCCATGGAGATGTTCAAACTGCTCAAGTTTACACCAAGGAAGTATTCTACTTTTCCTACTAAAATGCTTGAGTGCTGTCTATTCCAGCCTTCCTTCCATGAACACTTCACCTAAGTTAATTAAAAAGTGGCTCCTTGCCCTAGCGAGTTTAGCTCAGTGGTTAGACAGTCAGCCCGCAAACTGAAGGGTCCTGAGTTCGATTCTGACTAAGGCACGCCCAAGTAGGCGCAAGAGTAGGAGGCAACCAATCTATGCCGCTCTCACATCAATGTTTCTATCTCTCTCTCTCCCCTCCCTTCCACTCTCTCTGAAAAGCAATGGAAAAACTATCCTCGGGGGAGGAAAAAAAAAAAAAAAAAAAAAAGTGGCTCCTTTTCTGTGCCATCTTTAAAAGAAAACTAAATGCAACCAAATGTGGCATTCCCCAATTTCCATTAGCTTTCATCTGGTTTTAATGACCATTCCTTCCACTGCTAAAATGCAATCAGAATGAGTTAAAGGATGTTAAAATAAACCTGGCAGATTTGTAAGAATTTTATCACCTATCCAGACAGCTGTCGATGTAATTAGCCCTGACAGGTGGAAAGAACAGCAGGACAACTTAAAGTTATAACCTGAAAATGGAATGCTTAATGCAGGAAAATCTAAGTTGATTTATATACCTTGGTGGCTACATACCCTGCAGAACATAGGCCCTTATTATGGCTGCCACTCTAAGAATGAGTCACAAGACACTGAATCCCTGCACCCATTCTCCCCTTTTCGGGTTCTTGACCCAGTGAAGGGGCTCATGACATTATAATCCTCATAATTGCCCTTTCAGGTGTGAGATTTTAATTGCAGCACCCGGGACTCAACACTTACTCAAGTCAGAGAAGAAACACAATGCATTTTTTCTCACCTGTCCAGAACGAGGTCTGGAGCGAAGATGAGCTTGCCAGGGTGGTCGATGGAGCGCCACATCAGCCCCACCATTAGCACCTCCATCCAGCAGCTCTCCAAGAGCCGCACTTGGTCATACAGGCTGAGCTCCACAAAGCCTGGGGAAAGCAAGACACTGTGAGACACATCGCCCTCTTCCTTGGCTCCCTATTTTTCTAGAAACAGAAGAGCAGGTTTTCAAAAGCTTTGAAAACACAAATAATATAAAGAAACAATATTTTAAAGATGTGGTTCAAATGTTGACCTAAGAAAGAAAATTTTGAACTTAAGTCGTGCAACTCACAATTTGCAGTCCTGGGCCCCTTCTAGATACAAATATACTTCATTTAGAATTTCTAAAGTACTGTTACCTGGTCTTATACACCTCCCCAGACAGATGCTAGTAAAGAACAGAAAGGTGGAACCGGTCTTTGTTGGCTATATCCTAACCATTGTCCTGCACTGCTGAGAAAGATAATGCTGGGCTGCCAGCCAGAGGGGCTGCCTATCTGGCCCAGTCCATGATTGTGGCTGGGAGGACTGACGGGCATGCAGAGAGAGCAGGGCCAGCCCCTGCAGAAAGTCAAGGCTTCAACTGAAAGAATTTTTCTGATTGCTTAAAATGTCCCATCCAGAGTTAGAATCACTCTTCTCTGTGCAGCAGTGCTGACTCCAGGCTATTCTATTCTGAAGAGCAAACATAACTGAAGCAGGTCCCAACAACCTAATAGCCTAATAGCATACATTGGTCAAATAACTGGAAAGTAACAGGTAATCTCTAGGGAGGTGAGCACTTCAAAAGCAAAGCAGAGATCTCTGGTCCTGCCTCCACAAGCCATGACAAAAAGGAGGAAGTGGTGTAATTTAAATACAGTCACCAAAACTATGGCCTTGATGTGAAACTTCAGGCCTCCGGTTAGAATCCCAGCTCAGCCTCTTCGTAGCTAGTTAATGAATCTCCTTTTACATCTTTGTTTTCTTAGAGGCACAATAAGAGTAACAATGCCTGCCTCTGAGAATCTCCTACAGGATGAATCTCCTTCATCCTCACTTTACAGACCGAGGAAACTATGGCACAGAGCACCTGCAGTTCACATCTTCGACAATTATAATGCAAATCTGCACACAGGTGAATTTAATGGGGTAATGAATGGAAAGATGGATAGATCCTTTCCAAAGCCACATTCTAGGCTCAATTCAGGTTCCTATCACGTGTACACTTTCCAATCTCACCCACAGCTATAGACGGTAAGCCTACCAAGGGAGACCAAGCTTTTTATATTTGTAGCTATTCAACAAGAATAAGGCTAGGTGATATTTTAATATATTTTTTGGTTTGGACAATGACCTTATCAGCTGAGATGGGGGGAGGGTGCACACCTCTAGACTATGCCTAAGTTTTCTGAAAACTTTTTAAAATACCAGGCTTGAAGAGGGCCTAATGCAGTGTTAGAGTTCGGTTTTGTTATGGCACAAAGAAGCTCCACAGTTCTCAGCAATAATTAATTTCACCACTACTCTCCATGTGGGGTTCTGAACAATAGTGTTTGGAATACATATACAGCAAAAGCTAGAGGAAAGTACGTCAGTATTGTTTCCTATGGGAAAGAGCAGAGAAAATAAAATCATTCTGGCAAAGGTGAAGATGTTAGACTATCAAAACAGACCTGGAAACCAGAAAATCCTCAGAAGCCAACAAATGATCCCAAGAGATACTATTACCCTAGGCCTGGGTCCCACAGCTCTTTACCCCCAACTGCTCTTCACCCAGATTCTCAACACTCCCAATCTTTACAGTTCACCCAATGCAGTTGCTGCCCCCTAGGCCATGGGAATTGTCCCTAGTGGCTTAGAACTTGGACAAAGACATCATTTTTTAGACAACTGTAAAGATGTGCAAGGAGAAGCCCTTTTGGAGGGTGATAGGTTACTGTCAGTCTATGTTAGAATCCTAGATTCACTCTCACAGAAACACCAATTTGAATAATAATTAGATGGTAGTTTTAGTACAATGCAGTACTGCAGGTATGTATTACCAACTGGCCTGGAGAAGTGATCACATTACAGGGTGGAAAATGCAGGTTCCAAATGACTACTACTGATTCATCAAGCCATTTTTAACTTGATGGCATTTCAGGTTTATTGATGATTAATGTTATTTCATCTGTGGATTTACTCTCCTTGTCCATATGCATTTATTCATGTACATACTACTAATTATTTCTCTACTGGAAGAGTAGTTTACAAATTCCTACTTAGCATCTGACAAACCTTTACTTTCATACTGGACATACTGTACCCACTCTACCTTCACCTGCCTATACCCTCCTCTCAAGGTGAGGAATCCACAGCCAGGAGACTGGTCAATGTGGAACCCAGATCCCTTCCTTTTAGACCATGTTCCAAGTCCCAGAGCCCTTGAATTTCCTGACCAAATGGCCCAAGCCCATTTCCAGAGCCTGGCTGGGTCTCTTCCCTGGTCCATCCTCCCAGACCAGGCATGAGAGGTGACCAAAAGACAGGTGGACATGCAGGATGGGATGTGCACAAGGCTATATGGGATGGACCTGGGGTGGGAAAAGAAGAGAGAATAGAAGGGGTCCTGCCATATACAATTCTTCCTGCACTGCCATGTCTGGTACAGAACTCATAGGAACCCAAGAATTCTAAATTGGAACCTGATTATCCAGGCCATGTTGAAGGTGTATATGTTGAGAGAGGATGAAAGAACATATTTCATTTAAATGTTATAAATCAAGTCATCAAACAGTTAAATACAGAGACATCTTTTGTGGACCTCCATTTCATACTCTTGCCCCATAAATGTTAGGGGCAGCCTTCCTACAAATATATGGAAAGCTAAGACCCAGAACTCCCTACCTGGAATCTTCTTGGCCCAGCCAATCATGTGCACCAGTTCCTTGTCAGCCAGCTTGGTCAGGGACATCATCATGGAGGCTTCGGTGAAAGGTGTGCTGGGGCGGCTCACCAGCACGTTGGGTGGCTCTGCCTCAAGGAGTGTGAGCACCAGTTGTTCCGGGCTCAGGGCACTCAACAGAAGCTCCTTCACTCGGCCCACATGTCCACCATTTCTCCTCGCTTTGTTCAAAAAGTGCAGCTGCTCGTCCGAATTTCTCTGCCTGCGTACTATGCGGTACCCACACCTTTCTCTCCGGGAGCCTAAAGTGAAGAGCAGATAACAGGGCTTTCCCATCCCTTTCCCAACCCAGCATTCAAGTTCCTCAAGTAGCAACGGTAAAAATGAAGCAACATCATCATTGTAAGATCTGAGTCTATTCTCAGAATGTGTCTTAGAACAGAAGCCTGACTTCTTTTCTGGAGAATGCAGGGCATGTACCAAAGATCATTACATTTGTGACTGTATTAGCAAAATAAGTAGCATTACTTTCTAGGGACAATAGCCCAAATGATCTTAAGGTCTCTATTTCAAAGTCATCTATGGATATGAAATCCATTTCTCTTTTAAAGAGTTATGAAATACCTGCTTCCAAACCATGAAATTAGGAATATTCTTCAGGCAGAAGATGGGGAAAAGTTAGGAAATGAAGACTGTTATTTCCAAACAGTTATCAAATAATACACTTTTATAACACATTCTTAAAATGTTTGCATGCATGTGTTTGTGTATCTATATGTGTGTGCATATATTCTTTTTACATACACAAATAAGTGTTTTTCAAATAATAAATTAATTGAAAAAACCTGGAAAATATAGAAGAGCACAAATTTTGGCATATTCTTTGTTTTTTAATGTTTTACTTTTCTATATTTATATACAAAATGATCATCATAGTGTATATACTATTTTATAACCTACTTTTTATTATAAAATGTGTCATTTTACAACAATTTAATAATCTACATAGCATTCTGTTTTATGAGTATAGCATCACTTATTTAGTATCCCCAACTGACAGAAATCTAGGTTGGTTATAATTTGTTAGTATAAATATTACAATAAAAATGCAACTATACAGCCTGGCCAGTGTTGCTCAGTGGTTGAGCATCAACCTATGAACCAGGGAGTCACTAGTTTGATTCCTGATAAGAGCACATGCCTGGGTTGAGGGCTTGATCCCCAGTAGAAAGCATGCAGGAGGCAGCCGATCCATGTTTCTCTCTCATCAATGTTTCTGTCTCTCTATTCCTCTCTCTTCCTCTCACTAAAATCAATTTTTTAAAAACATATTTAAAAGTGTCTTCTTCTGGCCTGGCCAATGTAGCCCAGTGTGGCTCAGCAGTTGAGCGTCGACTCATGCACCAAGAAGTCACCAGCTGAATTCCCGGTCAGGGCACATGCCCAGGTTGTGAGCTCGATCCCTGTTGGGGGACTTACAGGAGGCAGCCAATTGATGTTTCTCATCAATGTTTCTTTCTCTCTCCCTCACTTCCTCTCTCTAAAATCAATAAAAACACATTTTTTTAAAATGTCTTCTTCTGGATAAAAGTGTATTCTTCTGGATTCTCTACTCTGTTCTATAGATCTATTTCTATTCCTGTGCTGGTATCAAAATGTTTCAGTTACTGTAGGTTTATGGACCGGAACACCACGGGATAATAGCTTTAAGATGGTGGGGGAGAAGAGAACCCTTCAATTTAGACTTATATTCCCAGCTGAACCATTACTTAAGAGTGAGGATAGCCTGGCCAGGCATGGCTCAGTGGTTGAGTGTCAACCTAGGATCCAGGTAATCAGGGTTCGATTCCCAGTCAGGGCACAAGCCCAGGTTGTGGGCTCAATCAATGACTCTCTCATCATTGATATTTCTCTCTCTCTCCTCCCCCTCTCCTTTCCTCTCTCTGAAATCAATAAAGATATATTTTATTTAAAAAAAATTTTTTTTTAAAGAGTGAAGATAAGTTAAAGACATTTTCAGTTAAACAAAGATTGAGACGATATATCACTCATTTAAACAACCATATTAGTACCTCAAAAGAAAGGAAAGAATTGGAAATGCAGAAGAAAAAAGGTGATAACAGAAGATACATGATTTCCAAATATAAAGGGAAGTGGAATGGTGTGGGAGAATCCAGAATGCAGGTACGATCCCTAATCCTCTAAGACTGGGTAGAAGGAAGAAGGTGGATGGAGTGTTTTAGGGGAGCATAGGCAAGAAAAGTGCTGGAAAAGGAGAGAGGCATAGTTCAGAAAATGCATTCCTTATTGTTTTTCTCTGGGTCAGTGAAGGGCCAAATATCCAACTGTTTGCACATTAACCCATCTCATTTCTTCTATAATCTCCAAAGATAATAAAATATTTTTTCTTAGTCCTACCCAGTGACTTTTTGGCCAAATTTAATTATCTTTTTTTCTCATTCCCTTTTCCATGAAAGTTTTTAATTACATACATCTCTATACTCTGCCTCATGAGACTGTATTGACTCAAACTCACAACTATATGAGAATTTCAATGAGGGAGGGAGAAAGGAAGGAACACTAAAATTTAGTGCCAGACAATGTTTTCATACGCATTCCTCACAAAACTCAATGAAGCACGTATCTCTGTTTCAGAGATTAGAAAACTAAGGGCCAGCAAGGTCAAGTCATTTGAGCATAGTTAGTGAAGTGATGAAACAGAAAATGAGATTCAGACTATGGCAATCCAGTCCTCCTGTTCCTCCCACCACAGACACTGCCCCCTACACGCAGAGTGCACATGTGCTGCTGCCCTGGTCCTCAACCACCAGGCTACAACCATCCAACAGATCCTAGTATAATAAAAGCATTTTTAATCTAAGAGTAAATTTTAAATCATTTTTTTTTAAAAATATACACTCACCTTAAAATATTGTTTAACTTAAACCATGAAACATTTATTGGCAATCTTTTGTCATAGAGCAATGCTTTCTCTTTAAGCACCTCTGCCAATTAAATCAAGTTATTTTCCTGCATAATCCATACCTATGATACACTGTCACTGAATTTTCAGTTTCAGCTTCTTTAAAACCTAGGCACTCATAAAGTAATCTGAATTCAGAATATTTCTAGGTTTATAACTCCCTCCCCCAATCTCACACATACCTACCTAATACAATCACCATTAGTCCTTTATAGCTTTTTTCAAAGCTTTCACAAAAACAATTGTGTTTTCCCACTCATAATCTAATTAAAATTTATGCAAACATATGAGATATATGATCTAACAATTATGATAAGTAGAAATAGGTTTGGGAAGAAGCCCACTGGTTACTGATAAGGATATAACTGAAGTGGTAGGAGCAGAAATGTTTGGGTGTTTTAGAGAGTAACCAATACGCACTAGGAGATCATGGGCTTTGAGAAGATCTTTTACAGATGAAACTAAAAACATCAGTGATTCTAGGAATCCAGAGAACTGTGTTCAAATTAAGGGTGTTTCTGCTGTAATTCATGACTAACTAGATGAGGGGTCTGGTCTACTGTCCATACGGAGAAAAGAGAAGCACAGAGAATGTTAAAGAGACAGAGTTACTAAGAGATTTTCAGAGAGGAAAGAGAAAATTTGTTTTAAAATTTTCAAATAGTTACAAAGAGAAATTATAACTAACCACAGGCAAAATTTTGGCTATTAGAAGAGTAAGAAAAGTACAGGCAGAGCTGGTACGAGTGTATAGAAACAAGCAAGTGTGTATAGACAAGTGAATCAAAAGTTAGCCAGGTGGAGAGAGCAGGGTGTAGGCATCATTGTCAGTTGTTATACTAATGTGCTCATTTTCCTGGTTTTTCATGTGTGTATATATACATGTGTGTGTGCATGCGTGCATATATATATATATTTATTTACACAGATATATGCTCATGTATATACTGTTGTAGAACAAAATCTATGCTCTGTGTACTTTCCATAGTCCTACCACATTTCTGACTCCTATGTATTTTTTTCCTCTTCTAGAAAGTTATTGGAGGGATAGGCATGAGTCTACCTACACCACCCAAGTAACTCACAAGATAGGCTCTTTTCTTGTCACAGCTTTAACTGTGAACATTAACCAGACCTCCTTCATCCTTAGACTTTTCAAGGTCTCAGGCAGATAGTCATCCAGCCCCTGTGTGAACACTTCAGTGACTAGAGTTCCCTAATTTATGTGGCAGCCTAGTCTGTTGTTAGATCACTTGAATTGTAGAAAGCTCTTCCCTATTTTGAGCCAAAATCTGCTTCCTATAACTTGCTCCCACTCACTCCAGCTCTGTCCTCTGCAGGTACAGGGAATAAATCAATGCTCCCCCCCCC